CTCAACTCACGCAAATGGTCCATCCAAGGTCTCTGTCCTTTGGACCCTTTGGCTTGTTTTAGAGGCGTGTTCCACTGCCCTTAATTTCTATTTAGGGAAAACATACCCATATCTGACATCCATATCATTTCTTAAGCTCTCTCGAACACATCCTTGGGAAGCATGGAATGTCCCACATCTTTTCTTGGTCAAGGAATTCGGTTGTAAGCATGATTGTGGACCATTACCGTGTGCTGCACTTAACTATTTACTATATGAGGGTTAGCGTTATCTGCACGCCAAAACAGGTGGTAATAGTGGCTGTTGCAAGCGGCGTAAGACAAGTTTTTTCGCGGACTCTTTAAATCAAAATCCTTGGGACACACTGTCCAATATTACCCCTCCTTCTTAATTTCTTATTACCCTATAATAGTTTTCTAGTGTATGGAGCTACTTTCTTTTGCACACCGCTGATTTGCAAGGTGTTATGGATATCGCTAGGGGTTTACTTTTAGCACTAATTTCTTTCGTTCACATCTCTAGGACAGAAAGCTCCGTATGAGGTTTGATCAGACATGACAGCGTACAAAAAAACCTTTACACCCCCAAAGCTAAACATTTCAGACAACGTTCTTTTCCGGACTTTCTGTATTATTCTCGGAGGAGGAGAACGATCGGCGACTATCAGTCTTACTGTTGCCGAACTTTCATGCGACTTACCATAACAAACACGACATTTCTTTAGCAGCGAATAAACCAGCTGCAGTAGGTTACTTGTTATCTCTTTTCAGTATTTTCTCTTTTACTTTCTCTTTTGGGATAATACTTTTAAAGCCTGACCTGGTTAACTGTAATCTTTCTTTCATCCCGCTACCTCCCTCTTCAAAAAGTTCATTAACAACATTAAATTTGACTTCGGAAAACTCACTTCACTATCAGAATCTTCCTTTCCCCTAATATTGCATCTCTGCCATGCTCTTAAAATATCATCAGGTAAGCAGGATTCTATCATGGGGTATAGCCAGGCTGAATTACTTTCTATATCAAGCCCCTTCGATTCTAAAGACCTTACATGTGTTTCTACCTTGGTAAATAAGTCACACAATTACTCCTAGCTTGAGCATTTGCTGTAATTAATTTCAAAAATTCTTTGGCATACACTTCAATAAGAATTTCTTTGTCCCCATAACGGTCTTGAAAAGCTCTCAAAGCTTTTGAATAATTTTCTGAAGTTATCGGGTAACTTTCTAATAAATGCCCAACACGAGTTCCAGGTTCTACAGCTTGTAGCAAATATTGGAACTTATCACAATCATCCAATTTTTTATCTTCATGTATCTTCTTAAACTGTGCCCAAAATGGCAAATAATTAATTAACTGAGAATCAAAAGGTTTTATATTCAATTTAGGTAATTTATACCGTTTGACTTTACAGTTACTACTACTGACATCAGAATTACTAAAAACTGTATCATTTGGAACTTTGTTTACATTTAGTAATGCACTAACTTTTCTTTCAATTGTGATGAATTCATCAGAATATTCCTCACAGCTTATAACTTCGGTTTCTAAATCATCTTCAGTGGCACTGCCCTTCATCAATAAATCTAGTACCTCTGAATCATAAAATTTTAACTCGGCAGTTATCGTTTGTAACTTCCACAATTTTATCTTTTCATACAGCTTTATCTGCTTGAGCATTTTTACTAATTTTGTTCTTTAGAACCTTAACCGTTCTAGTAAAAGCACTGTGTGCCGTTCCACGTTTTTTCTTTATCATATCAATATTCATTTTTACTTTAAACTCCACTCAAATACTTTATCTTAGATCTTAAAGTAATCCTTTTAACGTAATCTTATTTCCTCAATCCATTATTGGATTCTTACACATAAAATTTGTTTTACGTTGAAATTACTTTTATTCAAAAACATAAAACTTATAATATATATTTTAAGCTGAAAATACTAAATATCTATTTCTATTCAACTTAAATATAAACATGCTTTCATTCAACAAAATGCATCTTCAGAAAGTAAACATATTTCAAGTACTTTCGTTTTCGAAAGCATAAATAACTAGTTCTTCTTTAGGACAACACGTCCTGATGGCGGACGCCAAAACTTTTATTATATTATGTAATTAATCAACTACTGTTGATCGAAGTTGTCAGAATCCACTGACATATGCAGGTTCTATTTATATCACTGATTAAAAAAAAACAAGAAGAAAATCATTTACCTGTTCTGATGCATTGTTGAATCTGACGTGATGTTTCAGCTGGCAATCTTCTTTACAGAAAAACCACAATTGAATTTCTTGACATCACATTTTATTTACATAAAACATTCAAAAGGAAAAAATTAATATTTAAATACATTTTCTTGTACAGCCTCTCTTTTTCTCTTATGGCTGTAGGAAACAATTTATCCTTCCATCACACGGATTCGAAACCGAACTATCAACTGTTTACAAAAAAAAAAAAAAAAACAAAAAAAAGTTTTAATTTCTTTCACTAATGAAACCCCTGGAACCATCTAGCAAGGGAAAGACGCTTTAGATGAACATTTAACACAGGGAATCTTTTAGATATTACTTTGTAGGTAAGTGCGATGTCTTCAATGGATCCTAGTTTTTCTTTTAAGTTTCACGGAAGCATCGCTTATTGGCTTCTGTTTTTCTTGCATTCTTTTGCAAGTTGAAATTCCAAATATTTCAAAAATGATCACCTCGTTTGATGTTCAGTAGGTGGTTTTGTAATACATAACAAAAAAATTCGCACATTTACTGCAGCAATGTTCAACAGTACAAAAAATATTGCCATTGGCCATCGATTAGATTTCCTAGTCCTTGAATATGTGGCAACAATTTTGCCTACAACGCTCCTTTAGATAAATTGTAGAAAGTTATTATTTCAGGTTTTTTCGATTTTCCTGTAGATGAGTCTATTGCATCATCATTATGCATAGTTGAAAGTAGAAGTGCATTCTTATTTTTGGGTGTATGTGAGACTATTATTGTCTTTTCGGAAGCCAAACATGGAGGAGTAAATCTCTATCTTCTTTGAATTCAAAAACATTGGAGGAATCTCTTTTTTATTTTTTCTTATCCAATGATAGTTATTCATCCGAAGATCAAATATCCAATAAATTTCTCAAATATCACATTTTTCATCGTAACTGCTATAATACACCATATCGAAAGTATAATTTGAAAGCTTGTTTGCATACTTAGAACTATAGCACAGACACTCTCGCAGGGTATAATATACCCGTCGAGGCGATATCCAAAGAATTACTTTCTGAATTCTTCTGCAGGTTTCCTCTCCTTTAAAGTTTATTATCTTAATCAGCTATACGAAGATTCATCCAGATCCTCAAAAAAGTTTAAAAGGAAGATTAAAAAATTTCGGGAGGTGTGTATCTCATACTGTGCATGAGTAATGCCGGGTTAACGATTTGTAGACTATTTTACTGAATGTACCTTTTGCTCTTTTTTTATATCTTTTGAATACCTTGAGTAAAATTCTATTCTGTTGTCTAAAAGGGTTATTTTGTGCAAATTTGGTTATTCCTGATTTAACAATAGGATTCAGTATTTAGCTTTTGAAAAGCTTTAACATTAAGACCTGATTAATTTACAGTTGTTATACTTGTTTAATCTTTCAACACTAAATCTATATTGTTAAATGGAAATATGGATTTTTTCCCTAATTTACTGTATTAATTGTAATTTAAAAGTATTTTATATTAAATTTATCAGACATGATACTTGGGATCACAGAGTGTGAAGTACAAAAAATGTAAATATTATTGTATTTTCAAAAGGGGGGAATCTGAAAGCTCTCAGATTTTATATGACCAAAAGGGTGTGTGTGTCCCCCCCCCCATTTTCACGCACATACACGTTGGGCTAAAAATAATTCAAAACAGCATATCTTTAAAATTTCCAATAGACAGTCTTGCCATTGCTCGCTTTGAAATTGCTATGAAGTAGATAATAAAACCAATTCAAAATCCAGGCTTCAAGGTGTCCATATTCGAGTAGAGGACTATATTATTCAAAATTTGACGGCTCTAGGTACCATTGTTTTTACAGAGTACAAAAAATATTCATGCATCCATGGAGATTCTTCACCACTTAATTACTTTAAATATAATACAGAGCAATTATATTTGGTGACAACAATTTAAAAAGTGATTCGATGCAAACTGCTGTTTCGAGACTAATAGCCCTCTTCAACCTTTGTGCTTGAAAAAAAATGAGAATGTCTATATTCATAGACACAAAGCATTATTTCTTGCAACCTGTTTTCAGAGGAAATCATATTTTTCACATTTTTAGCAAGAGAAAAAAAAAAACATGCAAGCCTTTTCATGTGTGAATCCAAAATAATGGATTACTGATCATGAAAATTAAAATAAATAAATGAAATTTACTGAAATCTAAGTAATCAATGAAATAGAAACTTTGCTGTGGATGCTAAAGTTAGCATAATTTTTAAAATAAGATCTTCACATTTTGATACGAAAGAAATAAATTTGCTTACTCTGAATACGAAATTTCACAATATGTGCTGTAAATAAAATTGCAGTTCTCATAGTATTTTATTCTGAAAATCTTCATTAACTATCAAATTATATTTGTGTGCATACTTTATAAGAATTTTTAAATTACACCTTCTGAGAAGTGAAATATGAAAATATTATACTACTATTCAATTCTGAAGAATATTTTTGTTAAATGCAATTAAGAATTTCTTTAGAAAATTAAAATTTGTTTATATATTTTAATTCATAAAAACATACAATCCATAACTACATTTCTTATCAAAATAAAATATAAATAAAATTGTCTATTATATTACACAATAAAAACTCAAGAGATGGAAGACAAGTTTTGTAATAATCTAAAACTAATATATTAAATGTTGCACAGCTGTAAAGAAGTTTAAATATTGAAAACATGTAAGATAAAAATATTTTCAAATATTTGCAAGTTTTAAAATAAAGTTCATACTTAATTTTATAAAATAAACACTTTATTAGTAATAACTTTTTTAACATTGATAGAATGCAGTTATTGTTACCTTAATTTATAAATTAAATGTAATACATCATTAGCTTATTTTGGTCCACATGAATATAAAATAAAAATTTTATATAAACAATAAGAAAACTATATGGAAATTGATTATATACAGTTATTTTTAAAATATATGCATTTTTTACTTTATAAATACATGTTGCAGCAAGTATTTGTGTTTCTTATATTAGTTCTGAATAAAATTTGCAATGAACTGCATATAACAATAAGGGATTTTTTTCACCCCTTAACTGGCATATAGTGTACATCTAAATAATAATAAAAACATTTCACGCATCAGCTACAATTATGGTACTGCCCAAATTTCAGTAAAAAAATAATGAATCCTAGTTAATTCTGTAACAAAATTAATGAAATTTAGATCTGTAGTGCAGACCGACATATTGATAATTCATTAATCAGCCAAAATAACCTTTATTCTTGACATTAATAATTATTTACAGAAATAAATATGAACATATCTTGCATTATTTTAGAGATTATAGATAAGTTTTTTATTATGGGTGTTTTCTTTCAAAAGTCACTGGGTTATCTTAATATTTACGTTTTTTAGTATAGTTTACACTAGATCAGGGTTCCTTAAACTGTGGGTCGCCAAAAATTTTAGCAGTTTTCATACTTCTTTAACTTATTATAATAATTTTACACAATGTATCTGGAAACAGATAAAGACAATACAGATAAAGAAAACAATGAAAACATTTCGACGCATTATAAAATATAAACTTTCATTTTCCTTGCTTTGCACGTGATGCTGTCATTTCATCTGTTACTTATTTAAAGTTTTCACATTGTTCTATGTCTTAAAATTAGAAATTAAAGTTAATGACCTAAAACTGCAATAGTATATATTACAGTACAAGTGAAATAAGTGACGGTTTCACTCATGCATGTGTCAGATTTGCGCAATACTTATGGGGTCCCACAAAATTTTTGTAAATATTATGGGGTCCTGGGGGCAATGATAAAAAGGGGTCGCAACTGGAAAAAGTTTAAGAAACCCTGCACTAGATTATTGTCAAAAATCTATTACGCATAAAATATTTGATAAGTTTAAATTCTACAATTAAACTGATTGCTGTATTTTCAATGTAAATTGATGTGTTATTTATATAGATTTTTTTATGCCACTGTAAGTCCCGACGAGTCCGGATTAACGACTTTTGACTGTATATATAATTTTTCTATTTTCTGTTTTAATTCTCTTTTTACCTTTAATTTCTGAAAAGGTCACACAGAACGAAAAATTATACAGTTCTCTTAGATTATTTAATGTTTTAGATTATTACTTCATTAGAAATCAGTCTGAAACAAAAAATATGTATAATCTAAAATGTATTTTATAATTTTTATATCAGTTATAATTCCACATTAACAAATTAAATATATTTTTTTAAATAATATGGGATCACCTTAACTTTTGTTTTATATTTTTAAAAATCAATAGGTTTATTTTAATACAATTATTGAATTTTGTCTAGAATGATTTAATTCACTTCTAAATTATTAAGTTATAATATATATACATATTATATGTACTCTTGAATTTTTAATTAAAAAGCAAAATAACTTATGTATACATATGAAACTAAATGCATCTGAATTTTATGAATTCAAAACAGTATGGAATGATTTAAAGTATAATACTTGATTTATGCTCTGTATAAAATGTTTAAAGTAATAAAGAGAGTAAATAAAAATAAGAAAAAACAATAAATCTCTAAAGAAGCATAAAATTAAGACTAGATTTCACAGTTTCAAACACATGTATAGAAATACATTAAAAAGTAATAAACAAATGTAAGTAGAAAAAATACTCTTGTTTCTTAATAAAATGTTAAGTTAGCTACACAAAAATTTTAAAATGTGTAAAGTATTTAAAATATTTTCAGATACTTGAGGAAGCTGCTGCAGTGCAATACAAATAATAAAAATTATCAGTTTTTAAAATATAAAGAGGGAAAAAATAAATGAGGTTTAAGAAAAGAATACTAATATTAAATATATGGCATATATTCTTATAAAATTGTGCAAGTAAACATTTTTTTTTTTTTTTTTTTTTTTTTTATCCCAGCTAAAAAGAAATAGTACACCAACAGTTTTATAAATTTTAAAAATGCTCTTTGGTTTTACACAATAAGTTGCTTTACTTTAAAAATATACATTAAACAAGCAAATATTTACCTTATTCCTTTCATAGATTAAAAAAAGATGCATAAATTACTAAAATATTAGACTATGCTTATTGTTAATACAAAGTAGCAACCTCCTCACTTTATTATTTAGCATTCAGCATGAAAGAAATAATTCCATGTTAGCTTATTAATGTACACTAATTTGAAATAATTTTAAATTTCATCTTTTGCAAATAACTATCTCGGTAAATTTGAAGATAATAGATGAAGTAAGGAACAAAAGATAAGTTCTGCCTCTTGTGATCATATTTATCACACAAAATATCTTAATTATGCAGATAAAAAACAAATTTCTGTTTTGGCATGTATGATTTTTGAAAATCTGATTTGAGGTTATTGATAAATATTATTTAGATTAATTTTAAATTTAAAAAATAGCCCTTGAAAACAAGTAAAAATAATTTTTGGAAAAAATTTCATTCATATAATTTATGAACAGTTCACTGCAAGGCGTACTTATGCTGAGCATCAAATAATGTGGCATCTTCTTCCTCCTCATCATCTCTATCAAGAGGTTCCATTTCCATATCTGATACTGTTGAAGTTATAATTCCATATTTTCGGCTTTTGCTCTTTTTATGTCGAAGTCTGTAAAAAATAACAATATTAACAGAAAAGTAATTTATAATGTATACCATTCCTTTCAAAAATCACACTTGGTCAAGATAAACAGAATAATTACATTGAATAATGTTTTAAAAAGTCAACTTCCAATTTGTAGCTTGCATGCACTAATTTTTTTTAATTAGAAGATCACTGATATTATGCCCATGAGCACACACACATGCATGGAAATAAAGAAAATATGAAATTATTCAGATTTTCATATTGCACCAGATGGTTTGTTGCCATCTTATGCTCTCACAAAGCTCACATTTTACTAATCTGCTTTTGGACCCATCTTCCTATCACAGCTTTTTGTTTGTCTCTTTAGCTTTATTATTAAGCACCACTTTCTTCGCACTTATGCCACATAAAATTTTAAATTCCCAATACAACACCGAGTGTTGGCATACATTTTTCTGTTTTTTCCATCTCTTATTTGGCATCATGTTAATGTTTAGTTTTCTTAGTAAGATGACTTATGCAACTACTTTTTATTATTAAATTTTTGCGTTTTTAACTTTATTAAATATGTTTTTCACACTTACACCACATAAAATTCAATAGCCAAATCACAAAATATTTAAAAACAGCATATCTTTAGAACATAAGATTCAAGCATTAAGCTTAACTCTTAGGCATATCCTAAGAACTTAAGTGTTGCCAAACATTTTTTATATTTGCTATATTATTTCTTAAAAAACTGAAACAGTTACCTCTACCACTAAATGAAGAATCTGTCTGTGTGTTCCTTGCACTGCAGAAAAACTATGGTGCATAGACCTACCAAATTTTGAACATACACAGTCCTTTACCCTAACATGTGCAGTTCAAATTTTTAATTTTTCATTAACAGACTCAGCAATTTAAAAGTGTCCACTGGCAACAATGTACAAAATAAAACATTTTTATCTTCAATGCATAACACTGTTGCCATGCACAAAATGTAAGATTTTAGTTAGCCTTTTAATTTTAATCAGCAAAATTCCACTACTTCAAAGCAGTGTGTTGCTACTGCCTGGAATAAAATACTTTTATTTTCCATGGGCCAGTGTGTTGCCATTCAATAACATGCAAGATATTTAACTTTCAAATTTAATCTGCTAATATTCAGAAACAAACCAAGCAATAAATGCAGTTCTTGTGATTTTTTTTAACTTTTTAATTCACTTTTTAAATCATGAGCTAATCAGAAATATGAAATATTTTTACGAAATTACACTACCTGGATTAATTAAAATTATATATTTTTTCTTTCTTATAACTATTTTAAGTAAGTTAACTGTGCAAGCAACTAGTTATAAAATGGAAAAAATATATAATGATTTTAGCAAGTCCAGCTAATATGATTTAATAAAAGTACTTCATATTTCTATTCTAATAAGACATCTCATAATTTTAACGCATTTTTATTTCTTTTGGTCCTATTAAGAAGTAGAAAAAATATTCTTAAAAACTATGCTTATTGCTTTAAATCATTTAGTTTGTTACTTAGTAACTCAAAAAATAAATCTAAAACTTAAATATCTTATGCTTTACTGAACAGCAACATGCTGATGCATGGAAATAATATGTATTCTATTTGAGGAAATGGAAAATAAAAGTATTTTACTTCAAACAGTTGCAGTTTCTAGCAGTCTATATTGCTTTCAAATAACCAAATGGCAACAGTCTGGCATGCTGGGATGATGGAGATAGAAATGTTTCATTTCAAACTGTGTTGCCGCTACTGGCTTTTAAATTGCTGAGTTTGTTAATAAAATATTAATTACATTTGAATAAAAGAAAATAACATACATAAAAAAAATAAACTAAAATAAATAAATCATTCAAATTTCGGGCTTTGAAGCCTACATGTTCAGGTGCAGGGCTACATACATTAAAAACTTGATGGCTATAGGATTTTTTTCCCCCTATACTGTGAGGAAGATATAGATTTTCATTATTTAATTTCTTCAAAAATAAAACACCACAATAACATTTGGTGGCAGCAGTCTGAAAAGCGAACAAAAACAAGGTTTAAGTTTAATGACACCTATGGTTTTTTTCACCAATAGTTAATGAGGGCAGCATAAAATGAAAAGCAAATGTAATAGTAATAAATATATCATCAGACATTTACATGAACTAAATACACAGATAGAACTTAAGATATGTAAGAATGCAAAACTGAAAACAAAATGAAAATGTTTTCCCCATGCAAATAATTGCAATGGCTACTTACTATAAACAAGATGATCAAGATATGATTAATAATTTCATTTTTCACAAAGTGGAATTTTGATTTCTTTCAGAAGGAATGGAAGAATCTGCCTATCAATAATTCTTTATTTCCATATCTTATACTATGTTTAATTTGATTAAAATTTAGTTTAACAGAATATTCAAAGATTCAGTAATTATTATTGTGTGCTGTCATCCTTTAACAAAACTGTTCCCTAAAGGTACATAAGATTTAACTGCGGTTACCTTACATAAATCAGTTCAAACTTTAGTAAATGAAAATGTTATTAATATAAATTATCATTATGTACAGCAGATGCTTCATGTTAGGATGGCAAACCTTTTATAGTTCTTGCATCAGTTTATTAATTTTTAATTAAAATGTGCAATACAAATTTATATTCCTTTTGAACCCTTAAAATATAATATAGATGTATATAACAGTTATGCAATGACCATTACATAATACAGTCAAAAGTCGTTAATCCGGACTCGTCGGGACTTCGGCGATTCCGGATTATCGATTTTTCCGGATTATAGATCATTAGTTTAAATCTCGTAAGATGGCATGCAGAAATTCTAAAATTAAAAATATGAAACCTTAATTTATGAAATAAAGAACAATTATAATAATCTAAAGGGTATCAAAATTTACAAAAAAAAAAAAAAAAAAAAAAAAAAAAAAGCTTAATATTTATTTGTTTACTTTATTAAACATTTCTTTCAATGTAAGTTGTTTAAGTTGCTTCGTTTTATGTGATAATACTTTCTCTTTAATTCTATAAACAGACATAATTTCTTGTTCAGTTACAAAGTTCCGCTGTTCAAGTCCCGTTAATTGCTGTGCCGAGAATACCGACTAACTTGTCAATCGAAATTTTTTCGTTTTCACTAACCTCTCTGTCACATTCTTCATGTCTTTATCCATTTTTTGCAGCAATTCCACTTTTTGTTTGATGGACATCGAAACATACTTTCGTTTTGTATGATCCTTTGGGAGCTCCAGAATCGGAAATTCTATTTGACATAATCGAAAGTTCAAGTTTACTTTTATAAAATTGCTCTTACAGCCTGCAAAAAATAATAAGCCGGATCCAATTCGAAGATTAGGGAACAACGCAATCATCAACATTAACTGAAATAGATAATTAGATAATTTTAGATTATACCGTCCGTTATACATAAAACGCACACGCGAAAACGTATTCTGCGCTTGCGCACATGCATATGCACAGTGGTAAAAGGTTTTACGCACATGCGTAAACTCCTATGCGCATGCGTCAACGCGGCGCATGCGCAGAAAGTTTTTAGCTTTGAGGTCCGGATTATGGGTGTCCGAATTAACGACTTTTGACTGTAGTTAAAATTATTTATTGTATATAAGTAATATGTACACATTTAGTTGTTTTATACAGTACAAAGTCCGTAATCCGGAATGATCCATAATTCGGACCTCAAAGCCACAAATTTTTTTTTGTATGCTTTACGCATGCACGCTTTGAAAGAAATATTTAATAAAGTAAACAAATAAATATTAAGCTTTTTCTTTTGTAAAATTTGACACTCTTTAGATCATAATTGCTCTTTATTTCATAAATTACGATTTCATATTTTTAATTGTATAATTTCTGCATGCCATCTTACCAGATTTTAAATTGATGATCTATAATCTGGAAAAACTTCTAATACGGACTCGCCAAAGTCCGGATTACGGACTTTGTACTGTATAAGGTGTCAATATATAAGACAAGATAAACATTAATTACTTTACTAAAACTTTTGAAACTGCTTTGCTTTTGCTACACTAGCAGTGTTTGGAGTTAAATAAATTTCAGAAAGCATTAGTTTTTCAAATTTGAATCACTTTTATGGATGAAAACGCCTGTTTACATCTGTGTGTTGTTCAAAATGATAGTTATAAATCTGAATAAATTTTGTCAGTTCTGGAAATGTGTTAATGATTGCCAGAAATGAATTATATATCAATTTCTGGGAGTGATAAAAGTTTACTAAATTTCTGATAAGGAACTGTTTTGAATCAATGAGTCTTAATTGTATGCAGTGCCAGCATTAAGCTTTTTGCTGCCCAGTACAATCACTGTGATTCTTCTTTATAGTGACTCTTCATTTACAGATTTTGTCCTTCCTCAAATTCTTCTGCCCTGCATATGCTCTGGCACTGGCCCTAGCTGTATATTACAACGCATCATCAATATTTATTATTCAGAAAGTGAATAAAATTTATAAATACAACTATGCTATTTTGTTTGGCAAAACCACTAAAATGGCTATTTAAAGGACTTAAAATTAGGAAAGCAACAACCTTATGCTTGGCACAGATTTTAGTCAAGTCTTTTGATTTCAAGGGTAAGCAGGTACAGGTCCTTAGTCATCAGGAGCAAAGATTGACATATTTCTTTGCCCCCGATGAACAACAACCTGTCCCTGTTTGCCCTCAAAAGTGATAGAGTCTTGACTAAAATCTGTTGTTGCTGTATTAATTTTATATTTACTTTGGCATACTTCTGCCTTTATTAAATGACTCTTAAAAAAACTTGAATTTCTCAGAAAATTCTTTAAAGTTCCTATTATCTCCATCAAACTCCTTTTTTTTTTTTTTTTTTTTTTTTTTTTCCACGTGTGCAAAATAACTTAAATCCTTATTTTCTGTGTGATAAACAGTTTTAGCTTCAGTATGAATGCACTGATGTCATTTACAATTTACTTGCCCTACTGACTAGTAACATCAGCTAAAAACGCTA